TCTCTCTCTCAAAAACAGGACGTATCGTAAACTTGGTCTCAATGGCGGGTCGCCTGACCGCCGAAAACCTATGTCAATACTCAATGAGCAAACACGCGGCCATCGCCTTCTCGGACGGTCTGCGCCGGGAGTGTCGTAAATGGGGTGTAAAGGTGTCCACAATTGAGCCGATCATCTATCGGACACCGATGGCCGGCGCGGACTATATCGGCCCAGAGATTGAGCGCCAGTGGCGGGAAAGTCCCGACTCTGTCCGCGAACTATACGGCCAACAATACTACGACCACTTCATGGCTCGTAAGGACCGGTTTGGCAGTCACTGGTCGAGCGGCACCGATATCAACGAAGTGTTGGACCCGATGGTAGACGCCATCCGGAGCTCTGAGCCCCGGATCAGGTACGCGCCGGCCGGCAAGTGGTTCATTCAATTAGCCCTATCTGTGGCCCAACACTTGCCACTCGAGCTGTACGACTACCTGTTCGCGCACCGGAGCCGCCGGGAGCCCAAACTGGCAGCTCTTCAATAATCACTGGATTAGATCTGATGCTAATTAAAGTTTTTTTTTACACTTTACAATAGATTTTATAGTAATTTTTACCAAGTTTTCTAAATTTTTCTAAATGTTAGACACAATAACTATGCAAATACAATGTCTATGTAACAAAAACAAATAGCTTAATAAATTTTTAACATTACTGTCGGTTAACTGTAATTAAAAACTAACTAAAACTAACTTAAATGAAAACGTTATGTAAACTCCCCACCCCCTTAAAAAGCGCGTACATTATTAACGGTCGTACTAACTGTACGGCCACTGCATTAACACACAAACCCCGTCACAAACCACGTGACACTCAATTCACACCCAAAACAACAACAACTGGGAAAAAAACTTAACGCAAAAACACGTGCTTTTCCGGTGACCGCAACCCGAGCCTCACCTCAACGCCGACCTCCAGACACCTCCAGTGACCTCCAGAGCCATTCGGTGACCGCCAGAGACCTTAAGACACCGCAAGAGTGACCACAAGTGACCGCAAGAGTGCCCTCAAGAGACGCATCAATTGAGAGACACCTTAAGACACCTCAAGAGTTGCCCGATGTTTATCACCCAAGCGTTGCGAATCACGTCCGGACTGACCGAGAAGTTCATCGGCCGCACAGTACTGGTCCGCGCGGGTGATGTGGACGGAGCGATGCGTGTGTTGAACCGCATAATGGGCTCCGAGGGCTTGTTTGACATCTACCGCCGCACCCGTACCTA